TATCACCGCATGCGATAGCTTCTTCTACCAAACGCCCGAGAACCGAGCCTCCAGTAGCTCCGGCGTCCGATGGAGTAGTACCCAAACCGTCACTCAAAGGCATCCTAAGTAATAGTACAGCCTCTGAGAAGCATCAGGTCACGATGTTGCCGCCAAACTCCCAAGACAAGCCACGATCGTCTCAAAATGTAGGCTCGAAATCTGCGGCCAATCAGTTATTGGGTTTTCCGGTGGTCAAAAGCCAGGAGGACCCGGGCACGAAACTTCGATTGAGCCAGATGAACCCGCCTCGAGCCTCGCAACAAGCTGAAAAGGATTCTCAAAAACGTGTTTGCTTCAATTTAGCATCAGAGGAGACACGTAGCAAGCCCAGTCCGGTCACTCCAGCAAAGAAGGTTCGAATTGCCACTCCTACAACAGATTCGCCAGGGACCGAAGCAGGAACAGAAACAATTCTTCATCGGATACAGACAGCGATCGGATCCTTTTCCGCAAAACGCCAGTGTGTGATCGGCGTCCTGCCCCCCGCGCCAAAACTTATCATGTCGACAATGAAGGGGCTGCAGATTCCCGATATGATTTACCAAGATGCCTACTACAGCGAAGAGAAGGATGTCCCGGCTCGTCCCAGGGAGTATGCCGGTCGGGAATTTCGGCTCGAGAGTAATACTCTACCGTTCCTGGCGGAGTTTGATCCAACTGGGACGTCTGCCGCCAGCATTGGCATCAAATCAGACACACCCATTGACAAGGCCAAGAACGACGTGCGTTATGAGGCCCAAGCAAGCTTATGTTCATACCGAAGCTGGGAGATAGCTCAACCGCCTCCAAGCGCCAAGGAAGTTCAAGATTGGTGGAACAAGAAGCATCTCCTGCAGAAAGCGCAAAAGCATGTCACTGCAAAGATCACGGGCACCCCTCAAGCCACAAGGCGCGACCTCTCCCAGATTGACGGACCTACCCCAAAAAACAAGCATGGCTTCAAATACTCGCCTAAGAAAAAGTCGACCAGTGTCAAGCATGAAGCGCAATACATGAGTACTATGGCCCTCGAGGTTCACGTCAACACGAGGGGCAAGTTTGTTCCTAATCCTGACGAGGATGAGGTCCAGTGCATATTCTGGTCTATCAAAGCAGATGGCACCGCTAGCAGTAGTCAGGAAGCTTCAGGGGGGATCATTGCTGGTGTCGTTGTCCTATCGCCAGACGGTTCCCTCGCCCAGAGGATGCGGCGCTATGTTTCTGCAGAGGTTATCGAGGAATCGTCCGAGCTCGATGTCATGGTTCGCATGGTGCAAATTGTCAGAGACCACGACCCTGATATCCTTACAGGCTATGAGGTTCACGGCAGCTCATGGGGCTATCTCATCGAACGCGCCCGAGTAAAGTACGACTACGATCTGTGCGATGAGTTTTCACGTATGAAGAGTAACTCTCACGGCCGTATCGGAAAGGAGAATGATCGGTGGGGCTTCAACACAACGTCGACGATCCGCGTGACTGGCAGACACATGATCAACATTTGGCGAGCCATGAGGGGAGAATTGAACCTGCTTCAATACACGATGGAGAATGTCGTCTGGCACGTTCTGCACCGCCGCATACCTCACTACTCCTGGAGAACCCTGACACAATGGTACAACAGCAGTAGGCAGAGGGACCTTGACAAACTGACGCGCTACTACCTCACACGAACGAGGATTGATATTCAGATATTGGAGTCAAACGAGCTCATTCCGAGAACAAGTGAGCAAGCCAGACTGTTGGGAGTGGACTTCTTCTCGGTCTTTTCCCGCGGTTCACAGTTCAAGGTCGAGTCCATTATGTTCAGAATTGCAAAACCCGAGAACTTTATGCTAGTTTCCCCCAGTCGGAAGCAAGTCGGCGGCCAAAACGCATTGGAATGTCTCCCGCTGGTAATGGAACCCCAAAGCGACTTCTACAACAGCCCGCTGTTGGTGCTCGACTTTCAGAGTCTGTATCCCAGTGTCATGATTGCCTATAATTTGTGCTACTCGACATTCCTAGGCAGGATTGTCAATTGGCGGGGGATGAACAAGATGGGCTTCACCGAGTATCAGAGGCACAAGAGGCTACTAGAGCTCCTAAAGGATCACATCAACATCACGCCCAATGGAATGATGTACGTCCGGCCCGAGATTCGGAAATCTCTCCTCGCAAAGATGCTTGGCGAGATTTTGGAGACCCGAGTCATGGTCAAGAGCGGGATGAAGCAAGACAAGGACGACAAAACGCTGCAGGCGCTGCTGAATAACAGGCAGTTGGCGCTGAAGCTTTTGGCTAACGTTACCTACGGATACACATCAGCATCTTTCTCTGGTCGTATGCCTTGCTCGGAGATTGCCGACAGTATAGTTCAAACAGGCCGCGAGACGCTCGAGCGAGCGATCGCGTTTATTCACTCACAGGAGCAATGGGGAGCGGAAGTCGTCTACGGCGACACGGACAGTCTGTTCGTGTATCTCAAGGGCCGAACCAAGGACCAGGCGTTCGACATTGGCAACGAAATTGCCAAAGCCATCACCGATATGAACCCCAGGCCGATCAAGCTCAAGTTTGAAAAGGTCTATCACCCGTGTGTTCTCCTGGCGAAGAAGCGCTACGTGGGTTACAAGTACGAGAGCAAGGATCAGGTCACGCCTGAGTTCGACGCCAAAGGCATCGAGACGGTGAGGCGTGACGGGACGCCGGCGGAGCAAAAGATTGAAGAGAAAGCTCTCAAGCTCCTCTTCGAGACGGCGAACCTCAGCGAGGTCAAAGCCTACTTCCAGAAACAGTGCGAAAAGATTATGCGCGGGTCCGTCTCGGTGCAAGACTTTTGCTACGCGAGGGAGGTGAAGCTCGGCACATATAGCGACAAGGGCCCGCCGCCACCGGGTGCGCTCATCAGCACCAAGAAGATGCTCGAAGACGCGCGCGCCGAGCCGCAGTACGGAGAACGGGTGCCGTACGTCGTTATCACGGGTGCTCCCGGGGCGCGTCTGATCGATCGGTGCGTAGCGCCCGAAGACCTGCTCAACGACTCGCACTCGCAGCTGGACGCGGAGTACTACATTTCCAAGAACTTGATCCCGCCACTGGAGAGGATCTTTAACCTGGTTGGCGCCAATGTCCGGCAGTGGTACGACGAGATGCCTAAAGTGCAGCGAATCCGGCGGGTAGATCAGACACTTGGGGCGGCCGGTGGGCTCGGCAGCAAGAAGACGTTGGAGTCGTACCTCAAGTCGGCGTCGTGCATCTCATGTAATATCAAGATGCAGGTGGAGGGCGTATTATGTGGGAGGTGCCAGCAAGACGCGCCGAGTTCGCTATTTAACCTGCAGACGCGACTCAAGGACGAGGAGAGGAAGTACATGGACGTGTTGAGGATTTGTCGAAGCTGTTCAGCGCTCCCGGCGGCGGACGAGGTGCCGTGCGACAGCAAGGACTGTCCCGTGTTTTACTCGCGGGTCAAGCAGAGCGCGCGACTGAAGACGGAGAAGAGCGCGCTGGAGCCTGTCATTCGGGAGCTGGTTGCGAAGGCTGGGAGGGCCGCGTTGGAGTGGTGATTTTGTACGATTGTGAACGGATCACGATTTTTGTTACGGGTGTATTGGGTGTGGCCATTGTCATTTTGGGTGTTTGGCTGGATAATACCATGGAGGCTGGATATCTTACACAGTGAGGATGAAGCCGGTGTCGGTGATCGGTCTAAAGATGATGGGGCGGGTATAGCGCTACGGCCCTCTCGCAGATAGAATGATTGATAAGGAGGTTATGATGTCACGGCAAGGGCAGGCCACTGTTTTGAGTAAGGTGGGTGGAAGGGATTGGACGGACACGGCTCCGTCCGATTCGGTGTACATAGAATGGAGTACTGGTAGAGGCGACAGACAAGCACATACTTATCAGACGCACGCACTAAGGGTAGAGATGGCGGTTTATTGACTGGCTGATGACATCGTGAGGAGATGGGGAAAAGCGATCCAAGAGCCGAACTATTTCAGTGCTACTTCGTATGAGCTACTGCTGCTTAGTGACCTCACTGTTCGCCAGGGGTCCCCTCTCCTTGTTTCTCGCGGGGTAAAAGGCTAGCTACCTAGGAAAGATGAGGTGCAGGGATGCTCATTACCGGCTCGACCGTACCTTAGATTGGGGCCAGAGCCACAACCCACAGGGCAGTTGGAGTCTTGGAGACTTGCCCAGAGAGGGTAGGGAACAGCGGTCTGCGGGTCACTCGGAACCCTCAGCTTAGTGGTTACCGCTTCACTTTCCACCTTCTCGGGCAGTCTGGAAAGCGAAGGCACACCGTAAGGCCACTTCATACTTTCTCTTCAACAGCTTCTAGGTCGCCTTGGCTCTCGATCCGCCCTGAACCATCTCCTGTCTTCCATTAACATTTGGTCTGCTGAGTAGTGCTGCAACCCTCTCTCCGTCCGTCCCATCCATTCGCTTGCTGCTGCCAGCTTTCACAAGGGACGCCGCAAAGCTACCATTACCATCACATGACGGCGTCAGAGCGGCCTATTGGACGTCCATCCCAAAGGTTCCCAGTGACCTGCATCTCTCTCCATTGTCTTACCTGATCCATTTTATCGATCCAGAAACGCCCTGTGGCCAAGACCCAGATCCACGAGAGCTATCTTGTCCACTTTCTGTTGTCCACCACACACAAAAAAAGTTACCGAATAGTTGCGCCTCCAAGCAGCAAGCACACCAAGCTTCCGTTGACTTGCCCATCCTGAAACAAAGAGCTTCCATCTCTCTCCACAAGCACCACCACCAATCGCCGCCTCACACTGCTGATCCAATACGACTCTCCCCCGCCCGAACACTCTTCGTTCTCGTAAACGACCTAAGCGCCGATGGTCCCGCCTATCTCTCCTCTCTGTCTGCTGTCCTTCCGTTAGCAGCACTGCTACAAGTGCCGCGCGAATAGTGAGGAGTTCGGACAAAGTGCGAGAGGGAAACAGACCGGCAAAAGCTCCGGGAATTGCGCGATGGGGGGCTGGGCCGGCTTCCTCATCACTTACCTCCTAGGAGGCCTGACCTTCCTGCCTTTGGTGCTTCTCACCGTCTTCGCTCACGCCTACTTCACCCTCCCATACCGACAGGATGCCGACACGAATCGCGATCCAGTCGTCGACGCCGCTACCGCTACCGGCGGTCCGGGCTCCATCGTCCAGCCCGGCGATGACCTCACCGCTCTCGAGGCCGTGAAGGCCACGGCAAAGGACGATGCCACTGCGGCAGCTACGAAGCGCTCGGCGCAGGATAACGACGTCGCGGCGGGGTACTTTGCCGTGTGTAGAGAGTACACTCCCATGGGCATCAACGCGAAGCCCATCGAGAGGTCCACCCCGACCGGCCCAACCACCGTCGCCGCGCCGAGCCAGAGCGTCTATCAGACCATGTACAAGAGCATATTCGAGCGGAAACCGACGCCAGGACCCTTGGATAACAGAAATGGGCTGAGCCAGCGTCCCAAGAATGCTGGTAATGTCTTCTATGTCGTACTGAGGTTTGCGACCCCCCTCGCGATCCGTTTGCAACTGCTCGTCTACTCCAGAGATTAACTTGCCACAGACACGGGCATCTGATGCTCTTCGACGACGACGAACAAATCGAGGTCCGGCACGTAGTCTCTCTGTTGCACCACGACATTAGCATATACTCGGGAGGAGATGTCACACCAGAAGGCGAGCTTTACATCAAGAGGAATGCGCTGTGTTTGTCGAGGAGGTCAGATGGCCCCGAGGTCGGACCGGACAGCCAGCTATCCAAGCCGTTCTACCTCTTCTCCGAGAATTGTTCCGCCAAGGAGGACTTTTACTTTGCCATGCTCCGTAACCAGGAGCAAAACTTTGGCGCTGAGAGGAAAGCACCCAGGCCGAAACAATTCGAGGTCAAGAACATCATTGCGTTGGTACAGAAGCTGCACTCATCCGAGGAGCACCTATCCACGAGGTGGTTGAATGCCATGATTGGTCGTGTGTTCCTGGGCATCTACAGGACGACGGACCTCGAGCACTTGATCCGTGAGAAGCTCACCAAAAAGATTGCCCGTGTCAAGCGCCCTTCGTTCCTCACCAACATTGCAATTCGCCGCATCGACACCGGCGAGTCTGCACCTATAATCACAAACCCGCGTCACAAAGATTTGAACGTCGAGGGAGAATGCGTAATGGAGGCCGATGTGCGGTACACGGGCAATTTCCGAATGGAGGTTGCCGCTACAGCCCGCATCGACTTGGGCGCACGCTTCAAAGTCCGCGAAGTCGACCTCGTTCTCGCAGTGGTCATCAAGAAGCTCGAGGGCCACATGCTATTCAAAATCAAGCCCCCGCCGAGTAACAGAATATGGTTGTCATTCCACAGCATGCCAAAGATTGAAATGACAATCGAGCCAATTGTGAGCGCGAGGCAGATTACGTACACCATTATTTTACGACAGATTGAGAACCGGATCAAGGAGGTTATCGCCGAGACTCTGGTACAGCCCTTCTGGGACGACATGCCCTTCTTCAACACGGAGCACAAGAAATGGCGGGGCGGAATCTGGGATGACGACGATGCGGTTGTCAGCTCACTGAGCGCGGAGACCAACGTGGCTGGAGAGGGCGACGTGGAGGGGGTCGATCACCTCGAAGAGACGGGCGATGTGCAAAGCGACATGAGACCGATCGAAAAGAGCCACAGTATGCCGATCGTTGAGAACACACCGCCGACGGGCCTGTTCGGCAGGAAGATACAGAACAAGGGGCCAAACAGCCCTTTGAATAGCTCTTCTACTAGCGTTGATGCCATGGGCTCACCTACTACCGCGACGCCGATACCTAAGCCGTTCAGGTCGCCATCGATATCTAGTCCAGCAAACCCCGTGGTCGGCACCGATGCTGCGCACGCAGACGTGTTCAAGCCTTCTTCGTCACCACCAGATCATGCATCCAGCATGATGGCAGCGCTGTCTGCAAGGTCAACGCCGGTGACGACGCCCTCCGAGACACCCGCCAGACCACCACCCGTCGCAAAGGCGCCGAGCCAGTCCTCCGCATCCTCGCGCGAAGCCACAGATAACGAGAACGATACGGATCGCACGCCGATGGCCAAGGAACGCCGTGGCACAGCTTCGTCTTCGGAATCGATGCGCAATAACGAATCGACTGACCCAAACTCACCCACCACATCTTCAAGAGCCTCAGTCAGAAGCGCTACGGGCTCCATCTCCAAGGGCCTCTTTCGGAGAGAGAACACTAGCAGTACGAACTCGACTACATCAACAAACGGCGAGGGAAAGCGCACGACGCTCGCTGCCGTTGCCAACGCTGCGGTCACGGCCAGACAGTGGGGGTGGAACGCGATACAGAAACACAAGGACGCCAAGAACGGCGCCTCGACGGAGCAGAATCCCCCGCTCGACCTCAACCAGCCGATGGGCAGGGGTCAGCCTCTGCCTCCACCAGGTACGCCGTTGCCTCCGCCTGTCAGAGGCTCCAAGGTGACGACAATCCCTGTGCCGAAGCGCAAGCCCATCGCGCCGCCGAATCTCCCTGAACGGCCTCACTCGGCGTCAACGTCGGAGGCAAAATCGGAGCGCAGACCCGTGCCGCCCCCGCCCCTGCCCTCGCGGCGTCATCTGGACACGAGAAAGAACGCGGACGGCGGTGGCGAGAGTTTGTTGGTTGTGGAAGCGCCGCTCGACTCGGAACCCTCGACGCCCATGGAGGAGAGTATGCCTCCGCCGGCGTACGTTCAGCCCTGGGCCGAGGACGTCTCTGACAGCGAAAGGGATACCGGGGCTCGGGAAGAAAGGACGAGGGGTCGAGATCGCATTGTGGTCGACGAGAAGAAGGGGCACGGAAATGAAGAGGAGGAGGAGAGCAAGAGCAGGACGCCACCGCCGTTACCGCAGCGTCGGGATACGAAGCTTGACGATCCTATTGTGGCTAAACCGGTGAATGTCTCTGGTGTCGACGAGGACGACGACGATTATTCCGCGTGGATGGATGAGCAGGATGAGGGTGTCGTCGGTGTAGACGGGAGGCCGAGCGTCGAGGTGAAGTAATGATTCTTGGCGGAGTGTCTGCGTTTGTTCCGGATGTTTTTTGTTGGAGTTGGGCACCATGACATCAGGCGTGAGCATATGGCATTCATTGATTATGGGATGGGATCGGGGGTTTAGGGAATCGGGAGAAGCGGATCATGGAGTTTGAACTATTTATTCTTCCTAAGAGTACAGGATACCAGATTCTGATCGGTATACATTGGGTACATATATACATACACATACACACACGTCTTTGCTCTACTCTAGTGTGTACGAAACTCCATGTTCTTCTCGCTTTGTAACAAGATCACTCGCGATGGCGGTGATGGTCTAATGCCAAGTAAGCTCATCAAAACACTCCCCAACTGGAGTCAATGACCTGTGCTCAGCGGGTGATCCCAGTCATGTCTGAACACGAACAACGAAACCAATATAATGCGCCTGATCCGTATCCGTCACATTTAATTAGCCGTAGCGGAAGGCAGGGACGGAGATTGAACGTCCCGTGCAAAACGATCCACACCCAGAACGCGCAAATATTGCCGTATTCTTACCCTCGCGTTTGACTCTGGGTACTTCTTCGTTCCCGAGAACGCGCCAAACGGACTCGGACAGTCCCGTCAAAAGTCTCACCTACCCGCAACATGGGCCGCCCATCAATCCTCACACAGTCACTATCAATGCGGGTTGGAAATGAGCAACATCAAGTCAGGGCAAAATAGGGCAATTCAAGTAACTACATCTACAGTAGTGTCCCCAAAAACTCCTCCCGGGTCTCCCCGGGCTAGGCATTTTTGCCTGGTTGACCCCTGAAAAAAAAAAGAGCTACTGAACATGAATAAAAAAAACAGACTTTGACGTTCCCAAAGAAAAGTAAAGCCGAAGAAAAAGGTGTACATAGAAAAAGTTGGGTGGTTGGTTGTTGTTTTTTTGTGGTTTCCCATTTCGGGTGGTGTTTGTTTGCCTGCCGTGGCCAATCCAACAAGAGACAAGAGGAACACGAAGCAAGACTGGACTCCATTACAGCTGGTAGTACAATACTCCAATGTTTCTGTTCTCTCTTCCCTGAAAGGGGGGGACCCCATTCTTAATTTCCTTCCCAAGTTCGCCGGTGCCATGAAACAATTAAAACCATGACAAGGTCGCTCCCGGCAAAATACAGCGGAAAAACAGAGTCGGACAGGACAAAGCATATATAACAATTATCCGGGGGTATTCGGATGTTGGCTGGCAGTAGTCGAGCAATGGTGTTTTGATAATCGAGACAGGCCATGTGAGGCAGGACGCGTTTAATGAAATTTGGTCGTAGGACGCCAGGGTCCTGGATGCAGTCGTAAGCTATATTAGGTCGAAACCGGGAGGAGAATAGGGCCTGGGCTCTTGCGAGACGGCAGGGCATCCTAGGCAAAGACGACAAAGAGATGGTTGTCATAGACGTCGTGATCCGTTGCGTGGGAGCGAATTGATCATGAGTGGGGAAGGTGTTCCACGGGGAGGGCCAGTTTCTTGGCGTAGCGAGTGGATTTGAAGGATGCTTCATTGGCTTATATTACGGTAGACTGCTCAACAGCCGCATGTAGACAGATGTTCAAGGGCAACGTTGGCAGCGACTTCATGATCGCGCCCTTACGGTGCTCATGGGTGTGGCAGACGTTGATGGTCCAGATTGGGAGTGAGAGTGAGAGTGAGAATGGGCGCCAGAAGGCCGACCCCGCTTAGGGTGGTGGTGAAGAGTACCAACATCGTGCTTGCCTAGTCATTGTTAGCAACGTAAATCCATTTCAACACAAATGTAAGGGCAACTCACCATCACAGCAGGCGCGCACGTTCTCGAGCCTGTCGGCGTCCCGATCTTGTCTCTCAATAATCTCTCGAAGGTCTTCGGCGCTGTCGTGCACCTCGCTAGCCTCGTAGATGCTTGGGGTCGGGGCCGCAGCGGAGCGGCTCCTCAGACTCGAGAAGGTGCCAAAGTAGCCACTAATCCTACCAGCCATGGTGGGTCTCTGAGCCTGAGCAATCGAATGCTTGTTCGGGGTAAGCGTAGGCACGTTCATTGACATGTCGACTGCCGGAGACTGGTTACGAGTTGTCCGTGAATTGTATGATGACAGAGACGGAGGCGGCCTGGGACGGGCCGTGGAGTTGGTGCGACGGCCAAATTGCGGGTTGAACTCGTCCACGTCGGCCTGAGTGATGGCGCCGGCCATCTCCTCGACATCGGACTGGCCCTCGTCGGTTGTGCGAAGCAGTAGATACGACAAGGCGTTGAACCACGTCTCGTGGCGCTGGCCAGTCGTGCAGGTAAACTTGATCGTTCTGCCGGGAGAAATGACGATCAAACTCTTGCGGTGTAGACCGGGTGGCATTGGGTTGTCGTCGGTGACCACACGAACGGCCTCGATGGGAACGCTCTTGCCACGGAGCTCAGAACGACCAGCAGTGGCCGGGTCGCGATCACTCCAGTACAGAGTCCGAGTATACGGGTGAACCCAGAAGTAGCGTCTGTGTCTGTTGTCGGACATTTCTCCCCTGCCGGCCTTGCGGGTGTACTTCCAGAGGTACTCGCCAATCATGGTCTGTGTGATGGCCTGGATCATGCGGGGATCGGTGTTGGGACCGAAGCCTGTTGCGGCAGCCAGCTCAGCCTGAGGGTTGAAACGGTGGTCAATCTCAGAAACAAACGACGACACCGAAGAGTGTCTGCTCATAGTAGACAACTTAGTCGGCGAGTGAACCTCAGCGGTGCCGTACGCTGAACCAGCGCGCGTGCCGCGAGCAACAGGAGTTGCCTTCATTGATGTCGAGATCGACAGCGGTGACTGCGGTCTGGCGGCGCCGTTGGGAGTCTGTGGTCGCTGGTTTCTCATGGCAGAGGCAGGCCACAAGGGAGGGCCCATAACCGCACTATGCGACGATCCAGTTCTCGCAGCCTCAATGGCTTCCTTGTGGTTGGGCGGGAGAGGAGGTAGCGGTTGAGTAGGGGCGAGGTTGCTGTTGGCACTTCCTGGCCTTCTGAATGCTGTATCCATCTTGTTCTCAGTGGAGAAACTGCTGAGGCTGTCGTGAGAAGGACGGCGAATGCGAACGGTGCCGGGAGTGCTCGGGGTGCCGAAGCTCGACAATGACTTGTCGGACGTGGCCTTGGTCTTTGCGAGGAGCATCTCATCGATCGCATCAGCGGTTAGGGAAGTCTGGGCGCCTGAATCAGACATGGGAACGATGACCTTGGGTGCAGGGCGGCCGGTGGCGTTAGTTGAAATCTCCTTGAACGGCCGTTGGGACTCGGGAGTCTCGGACAGACGTTCGTCGCTAGGCGATTGCCGAGTATCGTCCTCTGCAATAATAAGGCTGTCGGAGGCCTTGTTCTTTCCCCGACCAAAGACGGAGCTCATCAGAGCATTCTTGGAGGGCGTCCTTGGCGCATCCTTCTCATCGAATGGCGAATCCATGTCGCGAGGAAGAATAAAAGCATCCCGCTTCGGGCTTCTGGGCGAAATGGGTTGCGTCTCAATTGACTCAATCGTGGAGAAACCGAAATTGTGCTTGAGCGCCGCGGTTTCTGGCGCAATGGCGGGCTCTACGTGCTGGGATAACACCGACGAGAAGTCCAGAACAGGCTGAGGAGCAGCGCGAGGCTCGACGTGCTCAGATGAGATCGCCGAGTACGCGAGGAGTGCGGGCGGAGGAGCTGGAACCTCGGGCTCTGCCTTGGGCTCAATGTTCTCCGATGAGATGGAAGAGAGGGTGAGGGCTGGGGGCAATGGTGGCAACACCGCGGGCTCTGCGATAGGTTCGATGTTTGCGAATGAGATCGAAGACATGGTAAGAGCTGGCGCAGGCTCGGCCTTGGGCTCGATGTTCTCGGAAGAAATCGATGTGAGGCTGAGTACTGGAGCGGGCACAATCACCTCAGGCTCCGCCTTTGGCTCAATGTTCTCAGCTGCAATAGACGAGAACGAGAGCGCCGGTACTTCCGGAATGATCTCGGGCTCGGCCTTAGGCTCGACATCCTCGGCCACGATGGACGACAGGCTGAGAGCGGGAGGCAACACCTCGGGTTCTGCTTGAGGTTCTAGGTTGTGAGAGTACAGCGCTGAGAGGCTGAGGGTAGGCGCCGGTAAGACGACTTCAGGCTCTGCCTTGGGCTCGACATGCTCAGTGGCGATTGCTGAAAGACTGAGCGTGGGCACAACGACCGGGACTTCGGGCTCTTCTTGCGGCTCCACGTTGTCGGACGCAATCGACGATAGAGTGAGGGTTGGCGCCGGTGCTGAGATTGGCACGGGGATGGGAGCAGGGATCGCCGCGAGAGATCTGGACGTCTCAGGCTCTTCCTTGGGCTCAATGTGCTCGGACAAGAGAGCCGACAAGGTAAGGTCTGGCACCGGGATCACGACCTCCGGCTCCGCGACGGGTTCGAGGTTGTGTGCATGCAAAGCAGAGAGGCTGAGAGCTGGAGGAGGAACCTCAGGCTCAGCTACCGGCTCCAGGTCGTAGGCGTGCAGCGCCGACAGGCTAAGAGCAGGAGCTGGCGTCTCAGGCTCTGCAACAGGCTCAAGGTTATGAGCATGCAAGGCCGACAGTGAGAGCGTCGGCGGGGGAGTCTCGGGCTCGGCCACGGGCTCAAGGTTGTGGGCATGAAGGGCCGACAGACTCAAGACCGGGGGCGGCACCTCAGGTTCGGCCACTGGCTCGACCGCTTCTGAAAGATATGTCGAGATACTCAGGGTCGGAGGCAGGATCGGGGGTTCAGCCTTCGGCTCGACAATCTCCGAGACAAGCGAAGTGAAGGCCAAGACAGGAGCCGGAATCTCGGGCTCTGCAACGGGCTCGACGATTTCTGACACGAGAGATGTCATGGTCAGAGGAGCTGGAGCAGGAGGTGGCGTCACGGGCTCAGCAACTGGCTCGATATCCTGAGTGTCAATGGATGACAAACTGAGCTCGGGAGGCGGCGGCAGGACAAAGTGCTGCGGGCTAGATGGCGGCATTGGGAATTGTGCCAGCTTAGCCTCCAT